CGCGATCGAAGGGATAGGTGGCGGAGCTTTCGCTTAATGTATACTTTTTGCCTGTCCGATGTAAAATCTCTTCTTACGCTCGACGGACGGAGGCTGCGAGAATCTCTTAACCCTTTCGATGCGGCAGGTACTTGCCAACGGCAGAGAGCGATAATCGCGAGGCTGCGTTTATGCGTTCGCTTAAAGCGAATCGATAAAAATGTTCCCGACGCAATCAGTAAAGAGAGTACATTTCTCTCCGCCACTCCGTCTCACGCATCTCGCTGATCTTGACCGACGCGTTGCGAGTCCAAGCGTGTTATCTTCACACTAATTATTCATTACTGTTATTGCCGTTATTATTTTCTCGCTATCGTTACTGTTATTTTCGCGCGTCTCTTGTTGCGGTAAGCCATGTCATTCAACGCGTTTAAACGTATTGAGTTATATATAAGCCAGCACGTTTAAGTCTGTTAAACGGTGCGATTTGAGAAAGAAACATACAGAGAGTGAATTTCAGATAAGGTAACACACACTTCAGTTTGGAGAGTGAGGTGAGATTTCACTGCGAAATCGACAGCACACGAATTCGCTACACCAAATGCAACTTTCTGTGCTTGTGGCGATGTGAGATGAACGGTTTCCTCATGCGCTTCGGGTGGGAAGTCATTCTGCGTGTTCGCAATCGCTGCATCGATGACGCAGGAGCAGTCGTTATCATTAACTGAATGTCTTAGTGAGATTTTACTGCGCGATTTTACACTGCGATACTATATTTATAACTAAACCACCAGTCGCTAACATTCCAGGGAAGATACACCGATTGTGAACTGAAATTGGAATGAAGACAGGTTTGTGAAAGCCCATGCGCAGGCTTTTCTCGGTGCAATCGAGGAACAAGTAAAGTTCATTTGTTATCTTCACTTCTATAAACGTGTCCGCCTGTACTTTAGAGAGCACGAAGAAACGCCTGGGCATCACGACTCGGTTCCAAATCGAGCCGCCGCTCAGTGAGGCCAGATGATTCTTGGTTACAAATTCTCTAGAGATCTGAATTTCCAACCGATCATCGACACCAATGGGTGAGGTTGATCCTGAATAAATTCCGAAGAGATCTGTCTTGCCAAAATTAAAAAAACATTTTTTTCTTGAATTACTAGCCCCAAAAGAGGACAAATTATCGTTAAACGCGAGAAACTTATGAAATACTCATTATTCGACACTTATTTCTAACTAATAGCGTATTTAACGGATTGCAACTATAAAACCAATCAACAGACACCTCGAGATTTATCGATCTTGAACCAGAAACCCATTAACCTAAAACTCATATGCCCAAGATACAAAAACATCAAATATAGACCCGTTAAGCACAAAACCGAGGGATTTTGAGTCTTAAGCCCATCAACTTAGGAGTCTATCAATCCGAGAACTTTTTAGCTGATCTGATGAGCTTTGAAATTCTGAGTTTTCTAAAAGGTGATTATAAGTTCTGGGGTCTCGCATTTAGTATCCATAGGCTCGAGCCCATTGAGGTCGAACCCAAGACACTGTACTTTAAACGATAAACTTTTAAGACAAACCCTAAACCCATGAACCGATGATTTTTTCAAATTTCGACTAGACAGATCTCTTTGGAATTTATTCAGGATCAACCTCATCCATTGGTGTCGATGATCGGTTGGAAATTCAGGTGCAGAGAAATTTGAACCAAAAAATGTCATCTGGCCTTACTGTGCGCCGTGTCGTTCGTGTCGTTTTAAGGAGACAAGATGCAAGAGCAAGAGTAAAAAAGAGATGGTAGAGTGTAGATCTTTACATAGTGCGCGATGATAAGAGACAGCAGTTAATTAGAAGAATTGTGATCAGAAGTGAGATATCGCTGTCTCCGGAGCGCCGGAAAATATCGTCGCGAGCGCGACGGAGCGTCGGTGACGGTGCACTCGAAGAAGAAGACTTCCACAGGCGCGTCCAACTCCGCGCTCCAATTCCGAGCGTCTCCAGCGACGTGCTAGGGAGATCCGGCTCCGGGGCTCTCCTCTCTTTCCCGGGTGCACAGGGCGCGAGAAATCCAGCTGACGCCGGGCGTCGGGCCATTTTCCTCGTTGACCTCCGCTCACCCCCATCCCATTCCCCCGCCGGCGAAATCCCAATCGCGCGTTACCGTCGCGCATTAAACTCCGCGGGGTAATATATCAGGGAATAAATCGTCGAACGTGTTGGAAGCTTTTATAGGATTTTTACAACGCGCGCGTCCGTGAAATACTGGCGTCGATGGAGGGCGAGAGATAGAAAGAAAGAGAGAGAGAGAGAGAAAGAGAGAGTGAGAGAGAGAGAGAGAGAGAGAGAGAGAGAGAGAGAGAGAGAGAGAGAGAGAGAGAATGGTTACTATCGCAGAGCGGCGAGGAGCGGTTAAACTGAGTGTAAATCCAGGTGCCATTGGTGTGGGGCGGAGGAGGAGAGAGAGGGGGCGAGCGAGCTGGGGAAGCGGCGAGAAGGGAGGCGAGAGAGGCTCGCTCGACGGGGATGAAGCGTCTGGCTCATCCTGGGGGATGCAGGGGCCGCGCGGTAGGGGATGCTTGGGATCCCACGTGCGTACAGACCCGCCAATCGGGCTTCAGGACCGCCCGCGATCACCATGGCAACTCCGGGGGTTGATGGGTGACGATTACGGGACGGGGGTAACTCGATTAAGCGCGCGACGCCGCTCCCGGAGGCGACGTGGCCGGGGACGTCGGCACGTAACGGGGTGGCTTTTCGGGCTGAAAGGGGTAGGGCAGGCTAGGCTCGAAACTATGGTCCGCCGAAAGGGGTTGCGCGCTCTCTATTTGCCCTCTTAATCACCCGTTAAGTGCCGCGACCCCGATGTGCCGCACAGCGACGTGGCTGGTCTCGCTTGCCTGCCAATTGACAGTGGCGAGTGCTGAATAAGAACGCTGAATAATAACCGGTCCCGAGGGATGAGAGGCGCGATGTGCTTAATCCTTGGTGCAAGACGACGACAGCTATACGGCCCGAGGTTGTTCATTGGAGGTAGCTCGCACGATTGTCGGGAATTCATCATTTCCCCGTGAAACGGAGCGATCTCTCGGAGGCCTCGTTTGGAAGAAAGCAGGAACGCAATGCGTCATGGGGATGATTCGGTGCTGGGAGTAAGCGCGCTTGTCCTTGACGGATCGTCCTTGACGGCTATCACATATTACGCGACGCAGAGCGTAAAATTGTTCGCCTCGGAGGACTCGCTCGTTCCGGCCCGGGGCTAATCCGGGTTTTGTCGAAACCGCGTGGCAGCCGGGACATAAGTCGGAGATATATCCAAAACATCCCCGCGGAGCCAGGCCGTTCCGCCGCGCGTGTGTACCCCGCTGCGTCACAATACTGATTTTCCACGTAGATAGCTCGAAAATGGAGCGCATTCAACCCTTTTCTCACGGCCGGAGCGTACGCCATCCAACAGTCAATTCGGGGACAATGCGCGATCGAATTTACGTTCCCCTCCCGGCCGACGTTGATCCCCCTTTTTACCACCGCCGGGCTGTTCCTCCCGAGTGAACGACACGTACCATTGTAACCGGATACTCCCGTTTAGGGGTGGCCCCTTCGTACATCGGGGGTTGACCGGGCAGGCTTATAACTAGTTGCCACTTAATTTGGCAAGCCTGACGAGAGCAACCCCGAGACGAGGGCTGCGATTCGCCCCGTCGGCGAGGGATTGGCCCGTCGAGATCGATTTCGACGGACGTATACGTGGGTATTCGCTGGGGACGAGCATACTCGAATTATCTCCCGCGGAACGTCACGTATCCTTCTGCCACCGTCGGCTGCGCCGGAGAGTTATCTTCCGTTGACGTGTTCCCTCCGCTACGATCGGAAATCCTTAACCGTGCTTTCTGTTTCCGAACAATGCGGACGTTCACGATTCGTTTAGTACTATCGGTTGCTCAGTACTAGTTTCCGATAACGATTAGCGAATTTATGGCAAGCAACAACTGACGCTCTGATTATTTTGTCAGCTAATTTTCTACGTTTGAAATTAGACGGGTGGAATTAACGTCACACGGTATGTTACGACGATAATTTTGCTCCCTATACACCGCAAACCCGAGTATGTTGTTTTGACACGTATAAGCTGAAGCTTTCTTCACGCGTTTTTTGTCGTCTGAAATCACGTCATTTGATGCATTTCGATGTCACTTAACGCGTTTAAACGCGTTAAACGATGTGATTTAAGACGACGAGAAACGCGTGAAGAGAGCTTCAGCTTGTATACGTGTCAAAATAACACACTCGGGTTTGCAGTGTATTTACGCACAAACGGGTCTCTCTTTCGCAATTATGTGAAAATAAACTAATGAATTTAATGCATGAAAATAAATTGGTGAATTTATAGCAACTAACAATTGACTGACACTCTGATTATCTTGTCAGCTAATTTTCTACGTTAACGTTTGAAATTGGACGAGTAGAATTAACGTCACACGGTGTGTTACGACGATAATTCTGCTTCTTATATTTACACATAAACGAGTCTCCCTTTCGCAACTACGTGAAAATAAATGCAATGTGTTCAGTAAAGGAAGAACATTAAATCAACATCTTGAAATTTTGCTTTCGCATTTCTTGAGCTTTTGTATTTCTTGAGAACGTTCTCACTTAATATTTTTTAATTATATTACCTTATAACACCGAAGATATTCAAGATATCAGATAATATGATCTTCTCTCTTTTCAAATATTGTAAAAATATTTTTAAAATGTCAGAAGTCATTCTGATATCGATACAACGTTAAAAACCACATACTAGGAAACGCTATTCGCCATCAAATATCATTGAAATAATATTCTGTCAACAATTTTTCGCTCACTGGATGGCTTGTGGGAAGAGTTTCCCCGAATAAGTCGTAACAACGCATCTGTTAATTATTAACTCGAGAATTTCTCGAGTCGACTAAGAGTTGTCGCAGCAAGTCACAATTAACCCGCCGGAAAAACTGATAGCGGCGAAATAATTAATGTTTCAGGTGAAAGTATGGTTCCAAAATCGTCGGACGAAACACAAGCGCATGCTGCAGGAGGAAGACGCGAAGACCCAACAACAATCCGGCGGGGGTGGCGGCGGTGGCGGTGGTGGCAATGGCGGTAGCGGCGGCAATGGCAACGGCAACGGCAATATCAGCAGCAACAACAAGAACGCCCACCACGTCAGCAAGTGGCAGCAGAAAACCGAATTCAACAGCGAGGAGGCGGAGGAAGAGGAGCACATCGATCCGGAAGCCGAAGAGTGCTCGAGCGGCTCTGAGGCGTAGCTAGACGTTCTTTGCCTGGATTAGGCAAAGGATCCAGGATCGAGCAGAATATCCTACTGACTGTAGGCTGAAGCGAAGGGTCGCTCGGCGGATCGATTCGAATCTTGTCCGGTCGCCGAGAAGGAGAGAAAGAGACAGATAAAGGGAGAGAGAGAGAGAGAGAGAGAGAGAGAGAGAGAGAGAGAGAGAGAGAGAGAGAGAGAGAGAGAATCTCCTTCGCATGTTCCGCCGATAGACCCTGTCCACGAGTCGAAACGAGGCTGTCGAGCTAGAAGATCGAGCTAAGATCCGGCACAGGACGTGAACAGAAGCGAATAAGTTCTCGAAGAAGTGTCAGATTGAGGCTGTCGCGCGGTCCCGGTCGAATCGCGTTTGAGCGCGCGGTTCCACGACGGAATACGCGACACCAGATGTCGTGAAGCCGAGGAAGTGGTAAACCTCATCGGGAAAATGGAAGCGGTGATCAGCTCCTATAATGCACATGGGAAATCATTACAGATTGTCCGGGAATCATCTGTCTGACTTGATCCGCTCGTGTTTGGAGCCGCGTAGCTCGTCGCGTTCGATTGGTTTCGAGCTGAGGAGGATGCGACTTAGAGGCCAGCCGGGACGCGCAGGAATCGGGACGAATTTCTGCGGCTGACACGTCGATGGCGAGTCCAGCCGCCATGGCGGTTGGCAACGTGCAGAAAAGTGCTGTGCGGTTTGAAGGTAGGATAAAGAGGGATGCAACGTCAAACGACGATGACGACGACGACATCAACGACGATAACGATGACGATGAAGATGAAAGAGGGCGGTAGTGAGGATTTCGAGGACGAGGCTGAGGAGATATAACAGGCAGGGCACGAGGATGAGAGAAAGGACGAAGAGTAGGAGAACCGTGGAGCGATGAGAGAAAGGAAGAAGAAAGCAAACTGATAGCCGGCGTGAGACGCAGGAGAAGCAGGACCAAGAATAACGGCGGACGGCGACGATCGCAGGGGAAGGAGCAAAGAAGCGCGACGAGCGAGCTGCAGAATGGCGAACGGTGCTTTTCAACGACCGACGGTCAACCCTCGCTGTGTGGCGCCGCATAAACTTCATTCGTTAACAGCGTAATTCGTTAACAGCGCGCGGAAATGAGGCACCAACCGGCGATGACCAGCGCCGGCTAGCCCGCGGCGCGCACAGCGGTCGTCTCGCTTCCGAGGGTTTAATAAGCGGGAAATTAGCTGAACGCAAGAGCGAAGCGAAGCGGGCGACGAGAGAGATCACTCGAGAGCAATCGAAGGCGATGATTCGACTCGCCGCACTTCGTCTAGCGACCGCAGGCTCCTAGGGATGGATCGTGGCTACGAGCGGGAGGAGGAGGAGGAGGAGCAAGAGGGGGAGGAGGAGAATGCTTGACCCCGCGAGAGTCTGACCCTGAAGAGCCTTTCCATCAGCGAAATCGCCGATCTGCGTGGAGGACTCGGCGAGTCTTGTTCGGAACTTGGCAGATTAGTCGATAGGCGATGTTGAAGGAGGGGTGCCTTTTTCTTCTTCTTCCTCCCGTCTTGTTCCTCTTATTCTTCTTCGTCGGTCGAAGAGGGGATCGCGACGTAGTTCTGCAGGATCTTCGTGACCGCACCGCGGCCGTTGCCGAAGGCCGGGGAACGATCGCGAAGATACGTAAATATCCTCGGGATTAGAATGAGAGACAGAGAGAGGGTAAGAGAGAAAGAGAGAGAGAGAGAGAGAGAGAGAAAAAGAGTACGTGTATGTGTGTGTGTGTGTATAAAGAGAGAGAAAGAGGCAGAGGCGATCTTCCCGGGCAGAGACTGGCTTCCTGGCGGGCGCGGAAAAAGCGACCGGAGAAATCAAAGGCGTCCATCGGAAGTCGGCTAATGGAGGCATTGTCTGCGGGAGAAACGACGGAGCTAAATGGACGCGTATCCGGCGGAAACGGCGACGCTCGGCGCATCGAGCACGATCGACGCGGAGACTGCGCCTCGGGCTTTATTAATTCCGCCGTAGCGATTCGCGATCGGCCGGCGTCGGAAGCCTCGAGGCCGTCGGAGTCTCGAATTTCGCGACGACGTGGCGGCGAAGAGTCACTCGCTCGCTCTCTCTCTCTCTCTCTCTCTCTCTCTTTCTTTCTCTCTCTCTCTCTTTCTCTCTCTCTCTCTCTCTTTCACCTCCGTTCGCGAGCGAGAACGGTTTCTTCCCGAGAGTGAACCGGGAAAGTATAATACAAAGTAATGGCCGATCTCGCCCGTGATTCGTGCTCGCGGTTCGCAAATGCCGCCGATCGCCGCCGATTTGCGCGCTCACCTTGCTCACGCTCGTCTTGCCATAAAAGAATCGCCATAAAAGACTAACCTCCTCTCGTGTTAACTCCGCTGGATCATGTAAATAAATTGTAGGAAGCAGAGCAGAGCGCGGGAACAGAAGAAGGAGAAGGAGTAGGAGGAGAAGAGGAGGAGGAGACGGCAGCCGCGCAGACTGCGGTCGCCGGTCTCTTCTGGTACCGCGTCCCGGCGCGTTTCTTCTCACGAGAGTCGAAGGGGTGTAGAGAGCGCGCATCGAAAGAATGTAAATAGAGACTGCAGAGAGACGGGACGAAAGCGCGATGCGCGCAAGACCCGCGTGCGAAGTAACGCGAGAACGAGAAAAGGAGAAACATCCCATAGGGAAAAGATGCAGAAGGCGAACGCGCGCGAGTTGGAAGAGAGTGCCAAACTTCGTACCCCCACCCCCCACCGCGCCCTCCCTAGAACCCATTTTAGAGGAGGATCCCAGTGTAAACTCGAGTTGTGTACTTTGTATTTAAGTCGTTGTTCTATACACGAGCGAGCAGTATTCCTTTCGTCCGGTGTCCGAGATCGATGTCCGAGATAAAGAAAGCATGCAGAAAGTACTGACGATTTAAATTATTATTGCTAAACGTTAGACACACGTACACGTGCATACACACACACACACACACATATACACACGTACACACACACATATGCGCATACCTAAGAATCTCCTGCGCCGCGAGTGAGGCCGGAGCGCGGTAAGGCCGTCGTGAAGAAGCACACGAACGCGGAATCGCCGTGCTCGGAGCGTTAACGTGTCGATGTCTCTCCCGACATCTCAGCAGGTCCGTTCTTCTCGGCTGAAGTGCTGAAGCGCTGCAGAGAATTTTGTTCTTTTCCCTTGGAGTTCATACATTTGCTTCACTCTATCCTTCTCTCTCTCTCTCTCTCTCTCTCTCTCTCTCTCTCTCTCTCTCTCTCTCTCTCTCTCTCTCTCTCTCTCTTTCTCTCTCTCTCTTTCTCTCTCTCTCTCTCTCTCTCTTTCTCTCTCTCTCTCTCTCTCTCTCTCTTTCTCTCACTCTCTCTCTCTCTCTCTCTCTCCCCCTAAGGGTAAAAATGCGACCTACTTCGGCGAGAAAGAACGAACCTGATGTCGCCGTGCGAGCGTGTCGGAGTTCGACCAAGATCGACTTGGATCGACATGGTCGATTTGGAATGATGAAAACGGTTTACGTGGCGACTTCGTGAGCAGCCGATCCGCCGAATAATCGTGAGCGCGTCTTCGTGAATTTCGCGCGGAAGCGTCGTTCCTACTTAATCGATTTTGCTCGCTCGCCGAAATTCGCGCGCTCCGTCGCGGCGCAGGACTTTCGCTCTGTAAATAATACTGTAAATAGGAAATTGTGATTTTACTCCGACCTATACAGAAACATGGAATTGTACTATCGGATGATTCAGTTCGTGTTCTAACGATATAGTGAAATAAATTATATGATCACTCTGCACGATTGTCGTTTCTTTTTTGTTTCCAGCGCGTTTTCGCTCCAGTTGTCTCGACGAGGCGTTCCTTCGCCGTGCGACAGCGGTATCCCTCATCGAGAGAAGAGAATGGTGATAGTTTCTTTATAGTCAAATTCCTTCCTTTTTATTACCAAACTTTTATTTTATCATTAAATTCTAAATAGTGTTTGTAACGCAATAATTCTAATAATGATTCTAAATAATTTCGTCGTTAAATTCTTATCCCTCTATTGTAAAAATTCTACTTAATTAACGAGACAATGGAAAAGCCAATCGAAAGAGAAATAGGATTTCTGGTTCCAGAAGGACCAGAAGGAAAGAACCAGGAAATCAGTTTCCTTCAATCAGAAGGCTTTTGATTCGTTCGTTATCACGTGCACTCAAGCGATCCTTTTTCCCGAGCGTCGTTTGAGGAAATTACCACTTGGAAATATTACAAAACGTAAATATCGGCTGCGGCTCGAAATTTCTTTGCTCGAAATTGCAGTGCAAACTCTCTCGAAACGAGTGAAAGTACACTCGAAGTGACGATGAAAATACCGCCACTCGGAGTTACACGAATGAACGTCCAACCACGAATGAATATTCAACTGAAACTTCGTACAGATTTTTATTTCCCCACTCTTCTTGCCTCCCTTCTCCTGCAAATGGAACGATACTTATGCATTAGCGCTTCCTTGTAGCGTTGTGAAAAATACGATTAGATTAAATTCAATCGATTAGATTATTCTGTCCTGTCGATTAGATTTATTTAGCCCCTGCGATGTGGTAGACCGATATAATAGTCTTAAGACACAAAGTTATATATCATTTTACCACCTCTCGTAAGAAATATATTATGCGTCCTAAAGAGATACAACTTTATGCGTTGAGGCTCCTGGTTTTTCTTCATGTTGATAACGTCGATAACGTCCGAAACGAGAGAATACGCTGGAAATTCGTGCAAACCAAGTTGATTAATTGAAGTAAAAATATACATATTCGTCAGAGGAGCTTTGAAAGGAGCATAAAGTCAATGTGATATTCAATCTATCTTCTTAATCTATTTTTCTCCTAATCCCGGCATACCAATTTTCCAGTTATTTATTGATTGCTAGAGCAAGAGGAAAGTGTCGGGGAAATTTCATGTTGCGAAAACGTCTCCTTGCGTCAACGAAATTCCCGAGAACTTTAAAGCGTACTTCTCGCTTCTGACGTCACAAGTCCAGATGGCCGCGGCGGAGAAACAGAAGCCTCGGGGCTATCGGTGGCGATCAGGGTTCACGTCGGATTCACTCTTCGAGTCCGCATGGAAACACTCAGCGGACCGTTCAAAGCGGGGAATTCACTCCGCACGAGTGAACCCGAATACGAGCGGGCAATTAACACT